TTCCCCTAGTAGCTTTCCCACAGTTAGTAGAAATCTATTCAAAAGTAGTTTCCACTTTTTTCAAAGTCAGCTACTTCATTTTTCTTACTGTTTCTGGTAATATTCTATGCTCACTCTTGAAATTGTTCAGCCATTTTATGGCTTATATATTTTTATAACTGCATGTAAGGACACACACATACACACTTATTTACTGTGTTTACTTTTTTCCTCTCTCTCTTCCTTCCTCAGCTTCCAATCTGCTTATAGCCTTCTGTTTCATCCTTGTGTCTTTTAGTGTTTTGGGTTTTTTTTCAATTCCTTGTGCTGAATTTTTTCCTCAAAGTCATTAGTGGGATGGAGACACTAATGATGTGAGGCATATGTCCTATCCTCCGGGACATCTGACCAGTTGGACATCTTGGTGTAAGTTCTGGCACAGCTCAGCCCAGATGTTTTAGTGGTGTGTGGGACAGTGAGAACGGAGTGATATTAAGCTAAGAGGAGACAGGCTATAAACAGAAAATGCTGGATCCCTTCTCCTAAACTTAGTTCAGCACTGAAACTGCATTTTGGAGCGGAAGCCTGAGAAAGTAAGGCAGTGTGTCCTGAAAACTGATTCCCTAATTACCCGTCATTATTAAACTGTAGATTTCCCCTCACCCCAGAGTCTAAGTTTCTGTAACTTTAAGAAGTCACTCAAAGTAGTAATAGCACTCGGTGTTTTATAATAACAAGAAATGAAAAAGCATTAGGTAGTCAACCCTTTAAAAATCCTTGGGCCTAATTCAGCGCTATGTGGCTCTGGGTTTTCTACTGGTTCAGATCCAATGATTTCACTGGCATAAAAGAGGATGAGGGTGAATCAGGCACTCTACTAGTTGTTAAACTACTTGCATAGGAAGACCAACTAGAGCAGAGGTGTGAGGTGACTTAGGTAAAGATTTTCTATTCTTTTACTCATTCTTGAAGTGCAAAGGCATATCCTGTGTAGTGTGGAGTGTCTCAAAGCCAAAGGCCGTGGGCATGCTCTCCAGCTGATGTTAACTGGCACAGCTCCCATGAAATCAAGTTTTGATTTGTGGAGCAATTCCAGATTAGACCAGCCGAGAAACCTGGTCACTGGTTGAAACTCCAAACTCATATTACATTTGTTTATTTTCTCCACCCAGACAGTTCCTCCAACCCAGTTTTATTCCACATGACTACCTGACTGCACATTTCTTTCTGAAATACAGCCTCCAGCAAGTTCTTTCTCGTTAATTTTGAAGTGTTGACATAAGAACCAGTGGGGTGTAAGTGCAGCACCTCCAAACGCCATGTGAAAACCTGAGCATGATTGCAGAGACTGCATACACCTGCCTGAGTAACTTTGAATGAAATGCTGGATTAAAGATGGAATAGAAGATGCTAGGTCTGAACGAAGGAAAAGATTAAACATCATCTTCAGCACAGGCCATGCCCCAACATATAAACTCTTTGGAGGGAGCAGAGGCAAGATTCACTAACTGTGAATTAATTCAGTTGCTTGCATAAAACCAAAAGATGCATGTTTTATATTGGGGCATTTTTTTTTGATGAGGCAAATAACAAAACACTGTCATGAAGAAATGCTTGTTTGAAGGGTGTGTGTATGACCACCATAGCATTTTATTTACTGTACAGCTTTAAGTGTTAATGGAGTTGTCCTGAAACAAGGTAGGAGCTAGAGCTTTTGGAACAAGAGGCATTTTGATAGAGCTGCTCTACACAATAATAACTGCAGCCTTCAAGCTAATCAGGGATGTTTTATAATATTATCAGTAGGTATTGAAAAACCCCAATGATTTGTTTGTTTATATGAAGTTCTATGGTTTATTTTTCCTTTTTTTAAAGTAGCACAGCAGTGTGCTTTTTTGAAAGAAAAATAATGTCAACAGAAGACTAAAGACCACTTGCCTGTGAAACATCTGCGCTAAGAAGCCACTTGAAAAGTAACCACTCAGTAGCATGATCAGAAAACATCTGTGAAGTTCTGGGAGGAATATTGCCTCTGGGAGGAGGCAAGGAAGGACAAGTGAGGTTGGAAGTAGGTCGGGGACAGCAGCAGCACCTCTGTTACCTCTTTCATGCTTGCATCGGTATTCAATGTCAAGGAGGCTAACTTCCATCTTTGTGCTCTCCTGGGTGACGTGTAGCTCCCCAGCCTCACTCGGGCAGCACGAGGATGAGGTTGGGAAGGAGGGAGCGCAGCGTGTAACCTGGACCTGTATCTGTGTGTGCTGAGCCTTGTTTGCCGTCGTTGTGCTTTACGTGTCAGATAAATTGCACAGCATTTTATTAGAAAAACATTGCTCCTAGGAAAATCATACATAGACAAGCCATCTGCCTGCATACATCTATCTGAAGACTTTTTTAATGCTGACAGTTTGATTTCAGGGCACTTAAGAAAGACTTGCCCAGGATGATACACAGCGGTGTCTTAACCATTAAGCAGACATTTGGTTTTAATTGATGTACGGATTATGCTGCCTTTTGAAAGTGGGATAGTAAGTGTTTATTCAATCACACCAACACAGCTTCTCAGCAACTTTTAGCAGAGAACACTGCTGAGACATTTCCCACAACGTACCGTGGCCTCAGAATCCCATTGGTTTGTTATAGAATAAACAGTCAGGAATTCCTGGAAATTAAAAAAACAAAAACCACATGGACGGTAGGAGAAAATTAAATTAGTGACCCTAGGTAGAAACAAGTAAGATTTTCAGGCATCCACTCTGTTTCCAATCTTATTTATTCCTTTTCTGGTATTAATCAACCTCTTAGATTTCCCTCTGGATCTGTTTTTTCTTTTTTCTTTTATTACAAATTTAAAGATATTGTAGAATGGCAACCACAGTATACTATAGCCTGAATATATTACCTTTCTGAGTAATGCAGACAGAAATTGATATGCATTCATAAGGATCACAAATATTTATGCATGGATGAGAAATATATAGTTAAGTAGACATAGATGGAAGTGTGTATCTGTATTAACAGAGGAAAAGATACACTGGAAAACTGGTGCATCAGTTCACTCATTTTAAGGAAAAAAAATCTCTAAGACTTTTACTGCTAGTTACAAATCTTGTTTCATATAATAGATCATAAAATGGAAGAAAAGAGAAAATGTAAGAGCCAGGCATAGGAATCAGAGTTTTTTGTCACCTTGAATAAATCTAAAGTACTCCAAAAAGTGGAGCAAATAATTTCAGTGTTTTTCACGTGCTCTGTATTGAACTGGTTAAGAACCCACAACAGAAAATTATTATGCACATCTGAGTAAGGGTTGTAAGGGTTTGAACACCTTGCAATTTTAGTACAACTTAAGCACGGTCTGCCCTAAAAAGTGACACTCTTGTGAATCACAACCAGAATGCTACTTGGTATTCTGGAAGAAGAACAGTCGCACCATTTAAAAAAGGAGATGATGTTCAAAGGGCAGATGCTCACCTTATATTCGAAATCAGGCCTTTTTCAAATATCTCCATTTGGGAAAGTAAACGAGTGGACATTGAAATGGGACGTTTTGAAAAATGTCTTATCTTTCTGCGGAAGAGAAGGAATATTGATCGTTTGTCAGATGGACAGGTTGGAGTTCACAGCATTGCTGCTGAATTTTCTGCCTTGGACGTGCACAACGTGGCAAAGCACATGCTGAAGTCTCAGCACGCGATCTGGTCTGCACCGGCAGACAAGGTGGGCTGTACGATGGAGGCATACGGCCTCCTCCTGTTGCTGGAGGAGCCTGCCAGCAAGGAGCAGAATTACCCCTTAAAAAGTATATCTTTCTTCTAAAGTGAAGAGGCTGATGTATCGTCTATATACATCTGTGATAGCCTGAGTTTTTCACCCTCCATGTTTGCCTCATCCACCTCCACAAGTTTTTTATCTGCCTGATTTGCTAGTGAATGAAGACGATATTTTGGAAGTGGGCTGGGAGCAGTTTAACAAGTACAACACACCTAGAATAATATGAACATTAACATTTTTAGTGATTCCAGCTTAACTTATGCTTCAAATTCACAAAACTGAGGCATTACAGAAACTTGCTTAAATATTTATCTTTGCCTGATAAATAAATATTTATCTTTGCCTTTGATTTATAAAATCATTGCCTTTTGCTATCAATTCAGTCTGTAGTGCAAGTTAAATAAAATTTAGGAATATCTAAACAATGACTTGTAACACTTTTAAATAAGCTGATTTTGACAAAAAGAAATCCAAAAAACAAACAAACAAACAAAAATCCCCCCCCCAAAAAAAAAAAAACAGTTTTTGCTTTGTTTTGTTTGGAGCTAGGAACAGGAACTATAAATATAATATAGATTTCATAATGCTGTCCCTACTTGCAGTATTTTCTGTGCTTTACAGTGCTTCTTTCCATCCATTAATCTAAGGTGTAGAGCATAGAGACAGGCATTTCAGCCTCTTGGGACTACCAGAATGTATACATTTCAAACAATAAATAAGTAAGAAGCATCATAAACACAGTATTTTTGTGGCATTTTGATCTCAGCTGTCAGGAAAAAAAATAACTCTGAAATGAAAAATATCTCTAAGTTTATCAAACTTTGAAACCAAAGAAGCACTCGTTTGGGTTAAAATCAAGTTTGACTTTCTCAGAACTCATTGCCTACCTTTGTAGATAACAAAAATTGTCTTCATCACCTGCAGCATTCCTTATTCTTTACATGGATAGAGAGCACAAAAAGTCCAATACTAATAAACATTCAAGCTATTTATTTCAATAGTAAGTAATCGCTGTATAACGATTTACAAAAATTGCACATCCTCTGTTTAACTAAGGTTTTGCCTGTGATCTTCATAATCAGTTCTGCCTGTTTGAAGAAACGCATGCTTGCACAGCTTGAAACATTTAAAACCTTTCAAGTCGGGCTTTGGCACCTCTGATGGTATGTACTGTGCTTATGACAGTTAATCATGTGAACTGATTTTTTTTTCTCTTCCCTTTAAACTTGGTAGATTTAAGATTATCTTTTTTTTTTTTTTTTCCTTATTTTGTTTCTTCAAAAGTTCAATTTCCAGTTCATGAAACTACTTGACCTGGAAAATAAACACTGCACCACATATAGCACTGTGGGACAGCAAAAGAAATCAGACTTGCATAGCTAACAGAGGAGGCACATCAATATGAAGCAATGAGGGCCTGATTTTTTATGGAGTTGTAGTAACAACTTTAGGCTATCTAAATGAAGTAGATGTGTTTTATCAGTGCCCTAAGTGCTCTGTAGCTTCCATAAAGGAGCTTTTAAATTCTGGTCCTTCGGTGTTTGGTGACCTAACTTTATTTCCCTAAAAATAATAAAAACTACAGAATTCAGTGGAAACCACTGATGTTTCATCCCTCTGAAAAGAAACAGAGTAATGTCCCTGCTAGTGGAACGGGACCAGGCTCCTCCCAAAGCACTGTGTGTGCACTTTTGCACCAGTGAAGGAGCTGACATACAGCTTTAGAAGTTATATCGCAGGCCCACAGAATAACGCAAGCTGAAAGGGACTCCTGGTAGTGTAGTCCTGTTGAAAAGAGGACTAATTTCAGAATTAGGTAAGGCTGCCCAGAACCTTATCCAGTTCAATTCTGAATTGCGCTAAGGATGGAAATTCCACTGCTTCCCTTGACAACCTGTTTCAATGCTGCACTAGCTTCACTGTGATTTTTTTTTCTAATGTCCAGACAGAATTTTCCTTCCTATCAGCTGTTGCCCCATGCCCTTCTGCTGAGCACTTTGAGAGGAGTCTATATGTGTCTTCTCTATGGTCACTCTTTCTTAAGGGGGTAGCAGACAGCAGATAACCCCTCCCTTAGCCTCCTTTCCTCCACTCTGAACAAACATGACATGCTCAGTTTCTCCTTGTACCCGATGCGCTCCAGTCTAACCATCTTGATGACTTTTCATTTGGGCTCACTCCAGTTTTATCCACGTATTTCTTGTATGAACACAGCACTCCAAATGCAGTCTAAAGAGTGCTGAATAGATGAGAAGGGTTAGCAAAAATTTATTCATTCACTCTGATATTACAGAACCATTCCATGCTTCCCTGAATGGGATGGCTGAAGGACTGCTTATTGACAGACTTGTCAAATAGCTCCAGACATTCCCACTCCCTGCAGGTCGACATGGTACAGAGAACAGGGTACACCCATGTTCTAGATCTGAGCTGCTTGAGTCTGATGTATGGAAATAGATGGCCTGAAGTAAGTAACAGGACTAAAGAATAAATACATACTTTGTAAATGCGTGGAAGACTTTAATACATAGGTTTTACAAGGCGTAAATCTATGGAATAGATAATACATGCAACAGTGAATCAGTGATTTAAACACAAGAATACTTTCTCAGGCAGTCTCCTTCTTTAGACTGACTCTATCATTTCAATTCATTTTACAAGCTTCCACTGAGTTTTTGCATCAATATGCGTCATTTTGCTACTGTGACAAAAACCACCATTAGGGAGTAAAGATGTCACTGCTTTACACTGACATTCAGCAGCAGAGGATGAACTAGTGGGATGAGATGTCTACTCATGGTTGCATAAATACAGGTTCTTATGCTACCTCTCTCATCTTTCTGGTAATGTTGTTTTTATGTTTGTATGGTATCTTGTATTAGCTTGAAAACTTTTTTTTTATTGTTTCTTTGAATATTGCCCTGTGTGCAGTTTGACTTTGATAGGAACTTTCAGATATTATCTCCGTACTATCATAAACATATCTGTATGTTGATAATAAATGACTGCATTGCGTATTTCTGAAGTATTTCATGAATGTGTCAACATAGGAAGCAGGTTGAAAATGCTGTGTTCAGTCATGTGGATTATGGTGTTCGGAAAAGGATTGCCTGTAACATCTCTATTTCCAATTATATTTTTCTATGTTGCTTGTATTGGACATAGCTGACATTTCGAAACAGCATCAAAAGATAGCATTCTACTGATTACATCTTTTTTATAATTATTCTTGGTTTCATAAATGAAGTCTTCAACGATTATGCTAAAGTGGTGTCTGTATTTATGGATTGGCACTGCATTTTTATATGAAGCATGCTTAATTTTTTCACTAGAATTTTGGGGTGGCAAATAGAGATCACTAATAGCTTCTCTTTGC